GAAAAGGGAGCATGAGGAAGCACAGGTTAAGTAAGTGTCTGATGACCCGCAGAGCCCAACAGATGGCACCAGGCACAGAATCTGAGCTGCCAGACTGGACTCAGGGTTCTTCTTGATGAATGAGAAGTCTGGGGCTGAGAGAAATGAGCTAATGGGTTCATGCCCTTACACCTACTGAACAAAGGATGTGAGAAGCCAGCTCATCTCATTTCATCTCCTGAGCTTGCCCTTTGACCCCATACTTTACTGGGTATCTAATGATGTGACACTCAACATATTCCAGCCTAATTAATGAGTCAATTCTTTAAGCACATAATTATTGAGTAAATACTACATTCTAGCCATTGTTCTAGTCATCAGGGATAATGCAGTGAACAAAACAAAAAAAACTTCCTGCCCTCATAGAGTTTACCTCTTGTGGGGCACAGCCAGAGTGTTTTGGACAGGTTCAAGCCTTGGACTGATGAGAGGGCACAGTCCTCTCATTGCCACGTGCAAGTCCCAGCTTGGAGGGCAGGGCCTTCCCAGCACAATTATAGCCAACAGCTGTAGTTGTAAGCTTGAACCTGTGGTCCGAACACATGGCCCCACGTGCCTGAGTTATGTAGGCTTGATAGAGTTCAGGTGCATGTAGTTGAGTAGGATTGAAACCCAGGAGAATGTTGTAAGCATCTTGGTCATGACTTCACTTTGCCTCGTAGAATCTGCTATAAAATAAAGGCATGGCTGTGGGCATGGTCACTGTCTCTCAGAGAAGCAGTGTTCCGCCAAGACCCAGATTTCATTATCTTGTCTGTCTTTTCTAAGCCTTTCAGCGGCCCCAACTCAGGTTCACCCTTGGCTGTGCTGGTGTGGCAGACTTTAGAAAGATAATGCCTCCATGCTCCCAGGGCAGGTTCCTACCTCAAACCCCGCCCTTACAGGAAACAGCTCTTGTTGATAAAGTATTTTGAACTTGGGAGAGCAAAATTTTTATTATCTGCAGTTAGATGTGTTTATAAAGATGCACACAATTAATATGCTATATTACTTCCCCCCTTTTCCCTTACTTTTCTGGCTTCTTACTTTTTTTGTTGTCAGCAGGATTCAGTGCTATTTCTTGCCAGTCACTATTCTAAGTGTTCTCCATGCACATACTCATTTAACCCTTGCAACATTCCTCATGAATTAGGTTTTATCATCATCCCCATTTTATAGCTGAAGAAACTATGGTACAGAGGTTAAATAACTTGCAGAGCCAGGATTTGAGCACAGTCTGGCTGTGGAGTCCCTTATTATCCACTATGTTATATAGAGAGAAAAATGTAGGTTGAAGGTAGGAAATAGACAGTGAAATAATAAGTTGGAGGGAGGACAAAAAAGTCAGATGTGGCAGGGGAAGAAAAAGCAAAGAAAATAAGTGTGGAACGTTTCTTGTATGATAACAATGGAAAGAATAGGGAGAAAATTGATAGTTCCTTTAAGCAAGGGAAGAAAAGATACATTAGGGGAACAGAAGACAAAGCGGTAGGATTTCCTGGTAATTTGTGACTGCTTGGAATTGTAGTGTTAAGATGCAATATATTTAAGAGACAGATTTTGAACACAGACAAGTGTTAATTATGTTTAGTGATGGTGTCAGTGAAAAAAAGGTGATATAAAAAATATCTCCTTTAGGTATGGAAGTTTTAAATCTCTATCCTGGTTCATGTTAAATCTCACACAACATTTATTTTGCAGATTAGATTTAATTTCAGTGTAAAGGTGAATGATATCCTCTCCACGGAAATCTTTGAGTAAGTCCTTAAATCCATGACTTAAGTTTATGCCATAGCTCTAGAGCTTTTCTCAGTCATTATTGTCCTATTTCCAATAGGTTCACAGTTTGATTTATTGAGCCAAGTTCACTTTGAAACTAATATTCTGAGACCCTCCATATTTTATTATTCTATATTAGTTTTTAAAATAAGTAAATACATTCATCTAAACCTTTTATGTCTTTCCCTTTTACTAGAGTGAATGAATTTAAAAATTGCCATTTTCCCTTGGTTAATTGGTTACTGAATTCCAGTAATCTCTGGGGGTGGTAGTAGTCATATTACCAAAATTTGTACCAGGCAGAAATCGGTATTAGAATTTTTGAGATATGGCTTAGCTTTTTATTGCTTTGCAGGGCAGAGAATGAACCTACTTTGAACCTGTCGAATGGAATTGCTCTTGTCGTAAACTATCAGCATTATATGAGGTGAAGGGGGAAAGCATTGTTCCTCTCCCTGTTTTACTCTCCTATTATGAATATAAATGTGGCAGCAATTAAAAATGGTCTCACTTGTCATTTATTAGTGCCAGATGTCAGAGTCTGTATAAGAAAAATAAAGTAAAACTTTTAAGCTAATTATATTGAAAACTGTTATTCCTGGCTCCTTGAATATATTCTGATTGACCTGAGGACATGTTCTTTTTCCTCTCCATGCCTTATTTTCTCCTGTAAATGAAACAAAACATACCCTGCTAATTACAACCCCATTTACACATGAGAAGAGAGGGCTGAATTTAAAAGGTACTTGAACTCTTGGCTAGATAGATACAATGACTACAAAGAAATTCTTTGGGTATTATTGTTTGTGCATCAGCATTTTGCCTAGGTTTGGAAATCTCTCTTCCTATCTCCACGTTCTTCAGACTGCAAATAAATCCATGGAGGAGGTGGTATATAATATGGAATAGATAGAACACCTCCATTAGAATATTTTTTATTATTTAATACATGCAGAAAACAACACCCTCACTCCATATCTTTCTTTAGTAATCTTAAAGTATCATACATTCATTACAGGTAGACATCTTGTTATCGTAGCTTTATTGAAAGAGCTGATGCTTGTAGACACATTTCCCTGGGCAACTTGATTAGTTTAGAGAGAGGAAAAGATTCAGTACTCTTTTGTGTTTAGAAAAGAACTGTTGGAAAGTAACCAAATATTAAATTTCACTAGATTCTTTCTAGGAGAGAAAGGTGTCCTAATTTTTTCTTATTATTGCTATCAAACAGTAACTTCAGACCTCGTCAGGGGAAGCATGTGTGGGAGCAGTCATCTGAGAATAGGGATGCCAGTTTTAGGTTATTTGTGATTAAGGAACCCCCTCACTCCCACTTCTGCCAAGCTGATCTCTGAATGATCTTGGAAACTTCTGCTTAGAACCATAGAGTAATTAGTGGATGAAATTCATATTTTGAGAATATAAAACTGCCACTAGTGGCAGCGAAAGCAGGAGCCATGATACCATTCCTGAAATGCCAATTTGTCTGCTCTGTCTATTGCTTGTGCTTCCCTGAGTGGGACGCAAGTTATTGATATGGCGGGTTATATGGTTATGCACATGCTAGAGATTATAAAAGGAATTTTGAATACCTTTAAAAATAATTTCTTGAGGAAAAAAGCTAAATTTGTCTACCTTGTTTTTTGACAATAGACCAAAACTTGGTACAGCTCAATTACTCTGCAGCAGAATCCATCCTGTACTAGGACATCCAGTAATGCTTTTCATCCCCAATGACGTGGCTGGCGTGGACTTGTTGGGAGAGCTGATACTGACTCCAGCTGCTGCTGTGTGTCCGGGCCCAAAGGTCTCTTCCAACCAGCTGATGAATAGGATTTCTTCAGTTTCCATATCCTTTTGATGACAGAATTCATACAATTGTCTTTGAAAATGAACTGTTATGCCCAAATTTTAGAAAATCCTTTAGCATATAAACTCTGAGTATAAAAGCCAGCATGATTTGTATAAAAACAAAAATCCAGTATGAAAGCCAAGCTTGAAAGTTTTTCCAAGAAACTGAAAACTATAAAATGTGCCACATGTGCCACACTCTTCATATTATCCCATATGCCTGAAGCATGGAATGAATGGTGCAAGAGGAAGGGATGAGGCTGGAAAAGTCATTTGGGGTGGAATATGGTGGATATTGAATGCTACACTACAGATTGTGAACTTTGTTCTCTGTATAGTGGGAAACCATTGAATGTTTTAGGAGTTTCTAGCAGCATTATACAGGATAGATGGGAGAGAGAAGTCTGTAATCACTAAGTAAGTAAGTAAGTTAAGTAAACTGGACAAGAGGGATTGAATGCCTGAATTAAAAGTGTGATGAGTATGGAAAGGAGAGACTGAGAGACTTTTTACTGGAAGGAATCAACATAATGAGGTGATCGATTTATTGTTGGAATATGGAGATTAGAGGCAGAGACATGAAAGGATATTGTTGAAAGATTCTCACACTGTATGTGTGTCAATTGTTATCACTTGAAGATAGACATGATAAGTTAAAGTTGTATATTATAGAGCCTAAAACAATCTCTAAATTGATACAACAGTTATAACTAATAAGCAAAAAAAAAGGGAATAAATGGAACTATGAAATATGTCTAATCCAAAGTAAAATCCAAAGAATAGAAAAGAGGAAAAAGAATACTAGGAACAAATGGAAAACAGATAACAAAATGTAGATTTAAACCTAACCATAGCAGTATTCTTACTAAATGTAAATGGTTAACCCAATGAAAAGACAGTCACATATTTTGACTCTTCAGATACTCCACAATATTTTTAAAAATTTTAAACATATTTTTAATGATTTCAGAGAAGAAGGGAGAGGAAGAGTTAGAAACACCAATGATGAGAGAGAATCATTGACTAGCTGCCTCCTACATGCCTCGGGTATTGAACCAGCAACTGGGCATGTTCCCTGACCAGGAATTGTACCTTGACCTCCTGGTTCATAAGTCAACACTTAACCACTGAGCTGGCCAGCCAGATACTCCACTCTTATTCTGAGCAGCATCCCAAAGCTTCCCTGGCTTTAAACAGTGAATGTGTTGGCCTCCGCTCATGTTCTTGGATTTGTGATGGAGACTTCATTATGGGCACTGCCAATTTTGT